ATATATATATATATGTATACATATACATATATATACATATACATATATATACATATATATATATATGTATATATATATATATATGTATATATATATATACATATATATATGTATATATATATATACAAATATATTAGGATTTACTATAATTGGCCTCTCATCAAGTTTGAAGCCGCAACTCCACCCTTATGCTTTCTTCATCAACTAATCTCCTACTCTTTGTTACCATGGTTGCCACCACCCTAGCATCCCCTCCACTCTCCATCCTTATATCTTATGTCATCTTCCTCCTCCCCAATTTCGTTCGATTTTCTATCACTCCCTTACTTTCGTGTCCCTTAATATTGCCCCAATGATATGAGAGCATATGACAATGCTCGTCAATGATGTTGAGGTTGCTCCTATCATAGTAATAGAGGGGTAACTATAAGTTTCTTGGAGAGTTAATGGTTTCAAGATCCGAGAAAGAAGGAGGATGCACGGAGGAGAGTTAGAGATGCCAAGGTTTGGTAGAGAGAGAGAGGATATGCTGAGGAAGAAAGGACGGGGACAATAGAGTAGAGTCAAAGATAGTAAAACAGAGATTTGAAAAAAAATTATCTCATAAAAAAAAGATGCTCTAAAATGTAAATAAAAAATGAGATGGCATGTAAGAAAAAATATAAGAATCTTAAGGATTTTACTATATATATAACTCTTAATAATTATGATGATAAGAAAAATATAGATACATTAAGTATTTGATTTTTTTAATAAAATTACTAAAAAATATATTATTAACAATGTTCAGTAGTGATTAATCCAATTTTATAGATGAATGTTAACAGAGGAGGTTGGATAGATACGGTTGCATCGAAATTTAAAAGGGTGGAATGCATAGTTTAAAATTTTGATAAGGATATATCTATAAAGTTGTTTAGATATGTATAATGTGACTTGTGTGGGGAGAGCGGACCCACCACAAGCAATAACGGGTTTCTTTTCATTCTCATCCGACCCGTCGGTGGTGCCATCGGCGATTCCCAAATCTCAAACCCCCTCTCTCTCTCTCTCTCTCTCTCC